CCCATCTGGCGTTATGGTTTTGGGCGGAAAACATTGTGTCATCAGCAAATAACGCTAGGTTTGCCTTTGGAATTAATGGTATATCATTTGTATATATTAGGAATAGGGTGGGTGAAAGACATGAGCCTTGGGGTACTCCAGAGAGGATTGGGCGGCTTGTAGATGTTTGGTCTTCTTGTTTGACTGCAAATGTTCGGTTTTCAAGGAATGAGTGTATGATTTTGATTAAAGCAGGGTGGATATGCATTTTGTTCATTTTGAAGAGGAGGCCATCGTGCCAAACTTTATCAAAAGCTTTTTCCACGTCAATAAAAACTGAGGCTGTATTTATTTTAGAGTTCCAATTGACAGTTATATCATCTATCAGATTGGTCAATTGATGAACCGTCGAGTGACCTGGACGAAATGCAAACTGCTCTTTCCTAGTTGTTTTAGAAGTGGTTTTTTGGATGTTTTCAAGGATTACCCTTTCGTAGACTTTTGAAATGGAGGACAGCAAGGCAATAGGGCGGTAGTTTTCAGGAAGAGAGTGGTCTTTACCCGGTTTGTGGATCGAGATTATGACTGCTTTTTTCCATGTGGAAGGGAAATAATTGAGTCTTAAACATCCATTTAAGATGTTTGTAAGGGTCAATAGTTTATTCTTAGGGAGGAGCTTTAGAGCTGTATTTGTTATGAGATCTTCACCGGGAGCTTTCTTTTTAGGCAAGTGTTTGATGATTAGTTGAACTGAACCGGGTGTTGTGTAGAGGTCGGAAGAAGCGACAGGTGAAGTACGGATGTTGTGAGCCGTTTCTTCTACTTCTAAGATGTTTGGGCCGGGGTTTGGCTTAAATTGTCTTTCTAGGGATTCCGCTATGAGTTCAGCTTTAGCTTTTGCGTCGTAAATTAGACCGTTTGGGCCTCGGAGAGGATGAATCGCTGGTTTTTTGTTGAGTAAGCTTTTGTTAATTTTGAATAGTGATCCGTCACTAGTGTCAAGGGAGGTAAGAAACCTGTCCCACTCGTCTTGTTTATAAGTTTTTAAAATAGATCTGATAAATTTCGTTTTAGCGTTCAGCCTGGATTTGACCGCTGGATCTCTGTTTAGTTGCCACTCCCGTCGTAGCCTGTTCTTGGCCTTTATTTCATTAAGAATTTCAGATGGGAGGGTGTTCCTTTTCCGTCCTGTTATGGATTGGTAAGCGCATTCTTCGACCGCCGATTTTATGGTTTCTGTGAAAGCTGATATAGCATGATCTATATCCTGGATGGAGGCAGTGCATGGGTGAGTGTTTGTAGTATCATTGGAGAGTAAGGTAGAGAATTTTTTCCAGTTTACTTGTTTACCTTGTGTAGGCGGTGAAGATGTTATGGGGGAGCTGGAAAACTCTAGAAGGATTGGGTTGTGGTCTGAAGACAGTTGATTTAAATTAGTTTGACGAGTGAGCAACGGAGTTCTGATTAAAGCTATGTCTAGGATGTCCGGACGGTGACCGATTTGACCGGTGAACTGTCCCGGTATATATACTATTTGTTTCCCTTTGTTGTCCTGTGATTGGTCGGGAATGGTTGCTTTGATAAGCAATAACCACACCTTGACCCATTGGTGTTCGCTTCGTTAATGTGGTTCTTGCTAGTTATTTCCTTGAAACTTTCCTGTTGGCAAACTACTTATTCTAGTGTGTCGCGTTTATTTCTTGTGTCGCATTATGTTGCCATACTGTTGTATTTGGTGGTCCTGAAAAGGACCATTTTAATATAGTGACGGTTTATCCCGTTACAGCTCCCCCCCCCAGATTTGTCATCGGGGAAGTAACTGAACCGATGGTAAATGTGTTGAATCGTTAGCGACACGTCTGCGGATTGATGCCTTGTATAATGCCCGTCGAATTGCATTACGAGACATATTCCACAGTGGGGTGTCCTCGTCTGGAGTTGTTATTACTGTTGATTTTTTGTCGTATCGTTGGAGATTGTTTGTGATGTGGTCCATTGCTTGTGCCAGATTGATATTCTTTTCAAATGGTATGTAGTTGTGCAATGTTTTTTCTGTAACGAATCTCCAGTCCCAGGGTTGTTTCCAATGTGTTTCGATGGCGTCTCTGGCCATATTTACGTTTTGTATCCATGTGACGATGTGGTTTATTTTTCGTCCGTCTTCTTTGTTTTCATCTGTTGTATGAATTTTCTGCGCCGTTACTGACGCTAGACCATATATGTTTTCTTTGTTTTCTGTTTTATTGAGCTGTCTTCTTTTCTTTGCTGCCTCTCGTCTTGCCTGTTCTCGTTCTGGGTTGATGGGTGCCATTTCTTGAACTGATGACTATGGACTTGCCTTTATAGGACGGCCTATGGCCTATTTAGAGCTCCAGGCAGTTGCCTTTTCTCTCTAGTTTGATTTGGATTGCTTTAAGTTTTTAGGACTGTTTGTTTTTGAATTTTATGCTGATAGTTTTTGTATGTGTTGGTATCTTGATATTGAGGCCTTGTAGTAAAAAGTCTGGGTTGCGTGTTTTATGATGACTGAGAGGGGTTCTAGGTTTGCTGATCTTTGGATAGCTTCATTTCTGGTAAGATAGTGCATGCCCGTTATTTGTCTTAATGTTGTGTTTTGTACGACCTCCATTTTCTTCAGGCTTGACTTGCTAATTTGTGGCGCCCACGCAACTGAGCCGTATAGGATAATTGGTTTTATATACATGTTGTATATTTGTATTTTTGTTTTTAGCGGTATAGGAGATTTATTGTTTAATATTGGGTAGAGGGATGTTCTTGCTCCTTTTGCTTTTTGCGTTGCGATTTTTACATGTTGATGCATATGTAATTTTGAGTCGATAGTTATCCCAAGGTATTTGACTTTATTTTTCCAGTTTGTGGTTTGGTTTCGTACGGTTATTTTAGTTTTTGTTGGTTTTCCTCCGAAGATAATTGATTCCGTTTTTGCTGCATTTATTTTTAGTCTCCACTTGTCGGTCCAGTCAAGAGTTAGATTGATTTGTTTTTGCAGATGGGATATCGCATACCTTTTGTTTCTGTGGGCTGCATGGAACATTGTGTCATCCGCGAATATTGATGTTTTTACTTGAGGATGAAGAGGGAGATCATTTATGTAATGCGTGTATAGTATCGGTGATAGGCATGAGCCTTGTGGTACCCCTGCTTGTATGGTTCTTTCTGTTGATAGTTGGTCATCTACTCTTATCTGAAAGGAACGTCCAGTCAGGAAAGATTTGATTAGTTTTACGGTGTAATTTGGTAGATCTGTATTCTTATTTAGTTTGTGGATGAGACCCATGTGCCACACACGGTCAAACGCTTTTTCTATGTCCAAAAATGTTGCAGCTGTGTATTTCTTTTCTGATTTGTTGTTTTTTAAATCTTTGAACAGTTGTACAAGTTGGGTGGTCGTCGAGTGTCCCTCTCTAAAGGCATGTTGTTCTGGTCGTGGTTTGATACATTTTTGTAGTGATTTCAGTACTAGTTTTTCGAATAATTTGGACATGGTAGGCAATAGCGATATTGGGCGATGGCTTTCTGGTTTGGAGTGATTTTTTCCCGGTTTAGGTATCATGATTATGATAGCTCTTTTCCATGTTTTTGGAAAGTAGGCTACCCGAAGACATGCTGTGAATATATGAGCTAGTTGAGTAAGTATGTTGTTTGGAAGGTTCTTCAATGCCTTGTTGGTTATATTGTCGTGTCCCGGTGCCTTTCCGTTTGGGAGTTTGTTTATAATGTTCGAAATTTGTTTTGGCGTGATAAACTCTTGAGACGGTGTCTTGTCTCGATTGGTTTCCGTATACGTATCAACGGCCTCTTGTATGTTTTCTCCTGGGTTGTTTGTAAATTGATCCTCCATGGTGTCAGCAAACAGCTCTGCTTTTTCGTCATCTTCGAATATTTTTCGGCCATGCGTGGTTTGTAGTGGGGTATTCGCAGGTTTCTTGTGGAGAAGACAGTGGTTGAGTTTATATAGTGATTTATCTTTAAAGTTTAACGTTTGTACGAAGGCGTCCCATTCTGATTGTCTGTGGTCAGTTAACAGTTTTTTGACAAATGTTATTTGGGCGTTGTATAGTTTCTTCGTTTTTGGGTCTCTCGTAGTTTGCCACATTTTTCTAAGAAGTCGTTTTGTCTCAATTTCAAGTGTTATTTCGGCGGGAAGGTGTGATTTATTCAATTTTGGTTCGACGGTGTAGGTTGAGTTTTCAAGTTGTGTTTTGATGTTATTTGTCAGTTCATCTATTTTGTGGTCAATTTCTTGTGGTGTTCGGACATTGGATATTTTAATTTGCGAGAGTTCGTTCTTGAATTTTGTCCAGTTGATTTTGTTGGATGTCTTCGGGGGATTTCTTGATATCGGCGATGCTTGTATGTTAAGTTGAATTGGGTTATGGTCTGATGAGAGGTCGTTGTGATTAGTCAGCGTGTAGTTAATTGAAGGTAGGTTTATCAGGGCAATATCTAAAACGTCAGGTTGGTGTTTACCGTTATAAGGAAAGTGTGTCGGTGAATCAGGAGCGATGACGATGTAGTTGTTTGATTCTGAGTGTTGAAGAAGTTTTCTGCCTGATGTGTTCGTTTGTCGGCTATTCCAAGTCGGGTGCTTGGAGTTGAGGTCACCAGCTATTAGGAAGGGTCCATCGTGTTTTGTTAGAGTATCTAAATCTTTTTGGTGGAGTTTTGTTCTAGGGCTTTTGTAAACTGAGGTGATTTGTGCCGTATTGTTGTTTAGTTTTATTTGGATCGAAGTAGAATCCATTTCTGTTGGAAGTACCAGGTAATGGTGGGGTATGTTCCTACGGATGAGAATGGCCGTTCCACCTGTTGTAGGGCAATTCGCTGGTTTTGGTCGATCAGTTCTGTACGTGTAGTAGTTTGGGATTGTTAATTTGTCTCTTGGGTTCAAGTGGGTTTCACCTAGTAGGATGATGTCTGTTTTGTTTTCTTTGATGAAAGCTGTGAGTTCGGGTGTTTTGTTCTTTATGCCATTGCAGTTCCATGAAATGATTTTTAGTTCATTCATTGTGGATTGTAGGTATGGCGTTGATGATTTTTAGTGCTGTTGAAATGACTGCGTCTTTCGATGTAGCATCTACACATTTTTGCGCTGTTGTGAGGAGGTCATTAAGAATGCGAAGGAGTGTTAATGCATTGATGGTGGGTTCGGGTTTTTCTGTTTGTTTTGATGTTGCTTTTGCGTAGGAAATTGTTGTTGTGGCGATATCTTGTATTTTGGTCGTTGGTGTTTGAGTTAAAGTTGTCGGAGGTGTGGCTTTTAGGATTGTTCGAGTGTTTGTGTCTCTAGATTTTTCAATTTTTTCGGTAATAATTTTTGTGTAGTAAGGACAACCCCTGTAGTTAGCAGTGTGCTTTCCTTTACAATTGCAGCATGTTGGATCGTCTACTTTCGGTTTTTGGCAGTCTTTGTTTGAGTGGTTTGCTCCGCATTTTACGCACCTCGGCGGGTACCCGCATTGCAGAGAGGAATGTCCGAAACGTTGACAGGAAAAACATTGTGCAGGTCCTGTAGATTTATATGGTTCGATTTTTATACGAATGTAGAAAAGGTCGGATACTTCATAGATTTCTTTAACATTCTCAGTACGGTTTAGGGAGACCATGTGAATTGGTAATCTTTTACCGTTCTTTTCAAAGGCTCGTACAAATTTGGGTTTAAAACCAATACGTTGTAGTTCTGCCATGATCTCTTCATTTGTAATGTCGAGAGGGATGCCTTTAATTGCAATTTTGAGGGATTTCTCTTCAGGTAGTGCGAAGGTGTGATAATTAATTTTGTTATAGGTCATGAATTCTTGGACAATTCTGAAAGAGTTTTCATTTGGACAGTTAATTTGAATTTGGAAAGGGGTGGATGTGGTTTTTGCTATCACTGGGTCGAGGTTTGGTGTTTCGTAGAGTACTTTGGCGAGTTCTCTCCATGAGATTTCTGGGCTGGTTTGTATAAAGATTGGTGGAATTCGATGACTTGGTTTGGTGGTTTTTGTTTCGGAAGTTTGGTTGCCAATTTTAGATATGTCGGATGTTGATGATGATAAATCGGAAATTTCAGATATCGATTCTTGATCAGTATCTACAGACGTTGGTTTATCATTTTCTGTTTTGTTTTGATGTGATGTTGGACGTGCTTTTTCCTTCGTGTTTGGAGAATCTAGAGGTTCATCGCGTTTTCCTGTTTTCCTCGGAAGAGGAGAACGTGAACGGTACTTTGGTGAAGACGGTGGCGGCGTTTTTCTCTTTTTCCCCATGGCTGTACGAGCCGCTGCGCTTGTGCGAGCGGTTGGTAGTTTCAGGGGTTACGGGAATGTTTGGTGGTTTACTAATACTATTTTTCCGGTTAGGACCCGGCGTTGTGCACCCGTTTCGGGCAGCACTTGCCTCGTGGTCGATAAGAATGGTTTTACTTACAGTCAATACTTACAGTCAAGTTGTAGTAGCGTTGATCGGGTTGGTGAAGATGAGTGAGCTCGTTGTCGCGTTCGTCGTGGCGGCGGTCAGGCGGCGCGGTGGTCAGCACTGTGATGCGGTGGTCAGCACTGATGCACTTGATTGATGATGATGATGATGATGATGACTATGATTCTTGTTGACTGATCTTATATAGTTTGTGATATACCAAATTCTTGGTTCTGATTCGTCAACGTTGTCATCTCTTTCATTGGCTCCCCTTGTTGTTTTTTTATAAATTGTTGTGTTTGTCCATAACATAGTATGGACGAACCTCGGACACGTTAATGAGTTCTTCCCGTCCCGAGTGTATGTTCTTCACGGCTAGCGTGTTTTTACTTATGACTTTGGTTATGATGAATGGTCCGTTGTACATGTGGAATAACTTTTTTATTTCCTTGTTATCTGTATTCGATAAGTGGTGGTCTCTTACTAACACACTTTGTCCCTTTTCATATATTATATTGCTTTGGTTTTTCTTTTTTGATTCTCGTTTTCTTGCTTTTTCTTCGATCCTGGATGCTACAAGTTGTATTATGTCTTCTTTTTTTGATTGTTTCGGCCTCGGAAAGTTGATCATATCCTCTAGTGGTTGTTTCGGTGTCTCTCCTTTGATTATCTCCCATGGGGTCATTTCCGTAACTTCGGATCGTACTTTGTTCATCCACTCTTCAATTTTCTCTAGACAATTTGGCCACTTGGTATGTTGATTGTGGCAGTATGTCCTCAAAAGTCTTCCTATTTCTCGATTATATCTCTCAACTGGATTCGATTGAGGGTGATATTTAGTGGAGTGTTTTATTTTGATATTCATGTCGTTCCGTTTTTTCTGCCATAATTTTCCCGTAAACTGTGTTCCGTTATCCGTCAATATTGACTGTGGTTTGCCTGTTCTTGGTATATAGTCTACTTCGATCCTATTTAGTATTGCTTTTGCCGATGCTTTTTTTAATGCATATAATCTAATATATTTGGAGAATGTGTCCAATATTGCTAGGATGTATTGAGTTCCTCCTCGGCCCATGGGAAGGGGTCCCATTAAATCTATTGAAACTGTTTCAAACGGTGTTTTCGGTTTCTGAGATATTGTTGGTCCACTTGCTTGATAGTTGATGGGTTTGCTTCTTTGACAACTGTCGCAATTTTTTATTACTGCCGCCGTGATTTTGTGCATATTTTTGAATATGCACATTCCTTTTAGTGCATAGTATGTTTTATATCGTCCTGCATGTCCCATTATTTCATGGGTTTCTGATGTTAACATATGTACGATTTTCTCTGGTATGACCACACGCCAATTGTTTTCTGTCTTGTCTTTTACAAAAACTATGTTTTCTTTTATCTTTATGTACTCATTTTCCTTACTCATCATTTTATTTATTCTTTTATCTGTTTTCTGTAGAATTGCCAAATTATCGATGGATTTTTTTAATTCTGGACTATATTCTGCTTTCCTTATTTTGTTGATTGATATTCTGGCTTCATCCCGTTCCTCGTTGAACCTGGGGTACCGTGTAAGTGTATCTGCTATTATATTATCCTTTCCTGCAATATATCGAATGTCCAAATCATATTCTTGTAGTGCTAATGTCCATCTGGTTAAACGTCCATTAGTCAGCCTACAACTCTTCATAAAGATTAACGCGTGGTGGTCTGTCTGTATGATTGTTTTGTGGCCTAGTATGTATTGTCGAAATTTGCTGCAGCAATATACAAGAGCTAATGCCTCTATTTCAGTTGTTGTATATCTGGTTTCGGGCGGTTTGAGTGTCCTACTTGCATAGCCGAGTGTTGCTCTTTCGTTGTTGTCCAATTGCTGATATAGTTCACCTCCTATTGCTACGCTTGATGCATCTGTATTGATATATAGTGGTTTCGTGAAGTCCGGGAATGTTATTATTACCTCCTTTAAAAATGCCTTTTTTGATTCTTCAAAAGCTTGTTGATGTTTCTCCTCCCATGTCCACTTTGCATTATTCCTGGTTAATTCAATTAACGGCTCTATTATATGTGCGAAATTTTTTACGTATTTTCTATAGAAATTCAAGAATCCTAAGTAACTTTGGATTTCTTTTTTCTTGCTTGGTGTTTTAAAGTTTTGAATTGTGTTTATTTTGGCCATATCCATTTTTATTCCCTCGGTTGAGATGATATGTCCTAGGAATGACACTTGTTTTCGAAAGAATTGACATTTATCAATGTTGATCGTGACATTGTATTTCTCAAATCTTTCTAGAACCATTCTGATGTGTTCGTAGTGGCTATCTTCATTTTCTGACGTAATTAGAATGTCGTCGACGTATATTGTTACAAAGGATTGTAGTAATGGGCCCAATACCATGTCCATACTTTTTTGAAATTCCGACCCGCTGATGTTTAGACCGAACGGCATACGTTTGAACGAGTAGTTTCTTCCGTTTATGAGAAATGAACATGGGTCCATACTTTTTTCTTCTAGTTTTACTTGCCAATATCCACTTCGAAGATCCAAAGTGCTAATGCATTTTATTTTTTCGAACTTAGAAAAAATTGTTTCTATTGTCATCGGACACTCACGGTCTGGAATGATTTGTTCGTTGATCTTTCTAGCGTCCAAGCATAATCTTACCTCACCGTTTTTTTTGAAAACTGGTACTATCGGTACCGAGTATGGTGATCTCGATTGTTTAATTATCCCCATGTTTACCATACGCTGAACTTCTTTTTCGACTGCTTCGCGTTTAGTAACTGGAATAGGATATGGTCTTTGGTTGATTGGTTTGTCGTTTTTCAATCTTATTTTGCACTCATAACCGTCTATTTCCCCTGGTGTATCTCGAAATACTCTAGGATATTGCCGTATTAATCTGTCTAGTTTCTCTTGAATGCACTCTGGGAGTGTGTTGAGCTGTGTTTGTTCGATAGGTTCCATGATTGGTTGCGTGGATATTGCTCGTAGGTGCATTGGTTGTTTCCCGTTTTTCCTTAAAAACGGTATGTCATAGATTTTGTCGTCTATCTTCATTGTTAACTTTCTTTTTTCGTAGTCGATCGTTGATTTGTTTATTTCCAAAAAATCATTGCCTAATATCCCTTTCTCGTTTAAGTTATTTATTACAATGAATGGTGTATGTATCTGTTTTTTTTTTTCTATCTCGATGGGTAATAGGATCTGTTTATTTACTTTCGTTGGTTTATTTCCTGTTGCGTTGTGTATGCTGAGTCCTGTTAGTGGGATGACTGGTATATTTTTGTCGTTTTGATTTATGTCCTTGTAATATTCCTCTGAAATTGCACATATTTCAGCACCTGAGTCGACCAGCATTTCGTACTCTCTGTTGTTTATAATGATTTTTATGTATGGGCATCCTGGTTGTTGTATGTTGTTGAGTGTGATATCGAAATCTTCGTCTTTCGTTAAATCTTTTGCTTTTAATAACTTAATTGATTTGTCCGGTGGTTGGTTTTTTTTGTTATTTAGATCGAGGGTTTTTATGACTGGTGATGATCTACTTCTACCGTCCCCTGCTCCCAGTTTTTTGCTTCAGTATCGCTTTCGTTCAATTCTTCCCCACCGCGGATTATAGTGTTGTCATTGAACTCCATCTGCTCTGTGGTTAGTTGCCTGATGCTGGGCTTGTGGTTGTTTTCCTGGTTCTGTGCTATCTTTGTGTAAGGTTTTTGTAAGTCTGTTGTGGTTCTTTGATTCTGGCTACCTGTTTGGAATGGTACTCTGTTGTACGCGTTGTTCTGTCTGTTGTATGTGCGTATGGATGGTTTCTGGGCTGGTATCTCCTCTTCTAGTTTTGTACTATTATCTAATTCGCCCAATTTTTCCCAAATAGGTAAAAATTTTCTATCATTAGTTGTTTGTATGTATGCTTGAATGGATATCGGGAAGTGCTTTGTAATTAGACTGATCGCTTGTTCCTCACTCATTTTTGGTGAGTCAAGATGTTTTAATTCTGCCATCCAGTGGTGAAAATGCTCCTGGAAATCCTTCTTAATTGGTTTTTTTCCTGCTTCGGTGCATTTGATGAAAATGTCCCATTGATGACTTTCAGAGAAAAAATGTTTTAAAAATAGCTCGTTAAATGTTGGTTCGTCTAATGCTGCGTCTTTGATCATTGCATACCATTTTGCTGCCTTTCCTTTGAGGCTGTTTTCTATGACTATCATTTTCTCTTTAATTGTGGTGACTTGTTTGTGTTCCAAATAGTTGTTTATTTCTTTTAAAAATTGTTTTGGGTGCTCTTCTTTTAGTTCTCCACTAAATGTAGGTGCCGTGATGTCTACTATGGTTTTAGTGATGTTGTTTGTCGTGTTCCCGTCATTTTTTGTAGTTAACTTTGTTTGCAATGCTTGAATATCTTTTTCCAGCTGCATTGATTTTATTAATGTTTTCGAATCCGTATCATTAACGAGTTGTCGAAGTGTTTCGTATTGTTTTTCTAATTTTGCGAATTTTTCCTGCATTTGTTGTGCAGTGATTTCTAATGTTTCTAATTTTTCCTCCAATTGCCGAGTTTTCTCCAATAACTGTACTTCCCCTTCTAGTCCAAGTTGATTTTGATTTCGTTTGTTTTTTCTGGTATTCATTATGCCGGTTTTTTAGTTTAAATTGTCTTTCGATGTAGAATCTTGCGTATTTTTCTTATCGTTGGGTACTCGCGTTCGCCGTACCGACTAGTAAAGTTTTCGTCGTTAATTTGTTCTTTGAGTAGTTGGGTGTGGGTGAACCACTAGTTGGGCGCCAGTTGATACGGAGCGTCTTTCCGGGACGTCCGTGATCGTGAATAACAATGCGTTATGTATCGTTATAGTATCGTTTATTGTATAATCACTAAATAATGTTTATAATGATCGGGGCAAGTTATCCCGGGCCGCGCGGCAGGCTTGAAGAAGCGGCCGCGGCGGGCGGGTTCGGGCCTGAAGAGGCGCGAGCAAAACAATAGTCGGGATTTGCCTATACGTTTCGTAGAAAGAATACAATAATGATAAGGGAGAGTAGGAACCGTCCGTGCACGGACTCGAGCAAGTCGTGTGGGTTCGGTTCTTCCTCGCGGTGAAACTCGAATAAGCTCACCGTAGGGGGGGAACGTGGTATTACTTGTATTGGCTTGCTGAATAGTCGATTGGCCAAGTCACAAAGTCGGTTCCCAGCGTGTCTTGATATTCGTCCAACGGCGTGACTGGACTCGATTGAACGGGTGGACTGACAGTAGTGGATCGTCGGAGTATAATTATATTATACGCTGCCGTCGGTGGGTTAATCAGGTCCCGGTGTGGCGGCTATCCGTTGTCGTCGATTGCTGGATGCACACGGTAGGCTTGGTGTCGTCGGTCCGTGAAGTGGCGCTTGTTAGCCAGGTATACCGGGTACTGTTGAGTCTCGGCGGTATCGAGCGATCACGTTAGACCGGTGTGTTCAGGGTGCGTCGTCGTGGACTGGCTAGGTCGAATCAGCTTCGCCGGCGTCGTTCAGGTCGGTGTTGCTGCTGCGTCGTTAGTCTTCGGGTCTTCGGGTCTTCAGGTCTTCGGGTCTTCTAAAGTGTTTGTTGACTTGTAGAAGAGATGTTGAAGACTGGTGTGGAAGATGATTTGACCGGTGAACTGTCCCGGTATATATACTATTTGTTTCCCTTTGTTGTCCTGTGATTGGTCGGGAATGGTTGCTTTGATAAGCAATAACCACACCTTGACCCATTGGTGTTCGCTTCGTTAATGTGGTTCTTGCTAGTTATTTCCTTGAAACTTTCCTGTTGGCAAACTACTTATTCTAGTGTGTCGCGTTTATTTCTTGTGTCGCATTATGTTGCCATACTGTTGTATTTGGTGGTCCTGAAAAGGACCATTTTAATATAGTGACGGTTTATCCCGTTACAATAACAAACTAATAACCGTTCAGAAAAGCATAATGAAAATATTCCTAAACAAACCTTCCCTTCTGAAAACCTAGGTGTTCAAAGATTTCAGAGTTTTCAATGTCCAACAACAGCTATTTCAACGAAATTCACTATATTTACACTCACTACCGACGTAGTTATACGAATTAAATCTGATTAACGTTAAACCGAGAACCCCTCAATGCTCGTAAGGAAAATAATAATATATTCATTCAAACATACAAAACGTTAAAAACAAGTAGACACTTTGTTACTCAACTGTAAAAATTACAATAAATATAAACAACCCATTAATATAATATTTATATTTAAAATATCATTTTAGATTCTCAGCGGAGTGAGGGATCTATAATAGTGGTTTTACAATGGTGTTCATTTTTTTTAATTATTTTTTTTATCCTGTATACAAAATTTCTACCAAAAGGAGTACTACTATTTTAACATAGAGTATCTCATCTTTTAGAAAATTGGATCAAAATGGTACTTT